TTTCCTTATAAAACCACTGGAATCTCACAGGCTGGGATTTCCTGGTGGTTTTCCCTTTGTGACTCCATTTTCCCAACAAAACCATTGGAATCTCACAGGCTGACTGGGTGACAAACCCATCTCCTCCATCAGGAATTTCCTGGGCTGTTTTCCCTTTGTGGCTCCATTTTCCCTGATAAAACCATTGGAATCTCAGGGGCTGACTGGGAGCTAGGTATTCCTAGTGGGGTTTTCCCTTTGTGGCTCCATTTTCCCAACAAAACCATTGGAATCTCACAGGCTGACCGGGTGACAAACCCATCTCCTCCAGCAGGGATTTCCTGGGCTGTTTTCCTTTTGTGACTCCATTTTCCCAACAAAACCACTGGACTTTCATGGCAGACAAACCCATCTCCTCCATCAGGGATTTCCTGGGCCATTTTTTCCCTTTGTGACCCATTTTTCACCCCGATTCCCCCCGTTTTGCAGGCGCTGCCTGCAGATCCTGGCGGCCGGGCTCTTCCTGCCCGGCTCCGTGGGCATCACGGACCCGTGCGAGAGCGGCAACTTCCGCGTGCACACGGTGATGACGCTGGAGCAGCAGGTCAGGAGGGCACCCCAAAAGGCCAGGGGACACTTTTGGGGGGGTCTCTCTGTCCTCACATTGTCCCCTCCTCATCACCAGGACATGGTGTGCTACACCGCCCAGACCCTGGTGCGCATCCTGAGCCATGGAGGATACAGGAAGATCCTGGGGCAGGAGGGTGATGCCAGCTGTGAGTTTGGGGTTTGGGGGGTGTCAGGGTGGGCACGGGGTTGGTGTCACCTCGAGGAGGTGCCCCAGTGTCACCTCGTGGGGCAGACCTGGCCTCTGAGATGTCCACGTGGGACGGGGTGATTGTGACGCCGTCGGAGAAGGCGTACGAGAAACCGCCGGAGAAGAAGGAAGGGGAGGAAGAGGAGGAGAACCAGGAGGAGCCGGCGGCCGGGGAGGAAGAGGAGAGCATGGAGACGCAGGAGTGACACCTGTGGCAGCTGCAGCAGGTGAGGGGACACAGCCCAGTGTCCCTGTGCCCTGTCCCTGTTTTGTACTTGCACATTAAAGCGTTCCCACCTTTGCAGCGTGTGCTGTTTGCTCGGGTGGGTGTGGGGTTGAGGGGCAGCAGGAGAAGGATCCAGAACTTGAAGGAAACACCTGGGGGTGNTGGGAGCATTGGGAATACTGGGAGCACTGGGAGCATTGGGAATACTGGGAGCACTGGGAGCATTGGGAATACTGGGAGCATTGGGAGCACTGGGGGCACTGGGATCAGTGGGAGCACTGGGGGCACTGGGAACACCGGGAGCACTGGGAGCACTGGGAACATTGGGAACACTGGGAGCACTGGGAATACTGGGAGCATTGGGAGCACTGGGGGCACTGGGATCAGTGGGAGCACTGGGGGCACTGGGAATACTGGGGGCACTGGGGACACTGGGGGCACTGGGAGCACTCAGGGCACTGGGAATACTGGGAGCACTGGGAACACTGGGAACACTGGGGGCACTGGGAACACTGGGAATACTGGGAGCACTGGGAATACTGGGAACACTGGGAGCACTGGGAACACTGGGAGCACTGGGAACACTGGGGGCACTGGGAACACTGGGAGCACTGGGGGCACTGGGAGCACTGGGAGCACTGGGGGCACTGGGAGCACTGGGGGCACTGGGGGCACTGGGGGCACTGGGAGCACTGGGAATACTGGGGACACTGGGAGCATTGGGAACACTGGGAGCATTGGGAACACTGGGAACACTGGGAATACTGGGAAGGACTGGGGGCACTGGGAACACTGGGAATACTGGGAGCATTGGGAATACTGGGAGCATTGGGGGCACTGGGAATACTGGGGGCACTGGGAACACTGGGTACACTGGGAGCATTGGGGGCACTGGGAGCAGTGGGAGCATTGGGAACATTGGGGGCATTGGGAACAGTGGGAACACTGGGAATACTGGGAGCATTGGGGGCACTGGGGGCACTGGGAACACTGGGAGCATTGGGAATACTGGGGGCACTGGGAAGGACTGGGGGCATTGGGAAGGACTGGGAACACTGGGGGCACTGGGAACACTGGGAATACTGGGAGCACTGGGAGCACTGGGGTTTTGCTCCTTGCAGTGGACATCAAGGTGCTGCAGAGCGCCCTGGCCGCCATCCGG